TCTTTTGAAGTCACAGTCTGTGCTGACTCATCTGGTGGAGCCTCATCAGATGCCTTGGTTGTGCGGCCATCTGCCATGGACAGTACTTCTGGACACCGTTTTCCCAAACACACCTCACCCTGAGTCACTTCTGCTGCGGAAGGGCTTAAGGAAAACAGGCTAAGCGCATGTGGACTGGTGTTTTTGTGTTCCTTTTTCCTTTTCTTATGTTTTCTATGCTGCTTCCTGTCATTTGCTAGGTTCATGTTCAGGTCTTGCAAACCAAGCCCAGATAGATTAGACTCTTCAGTCTCCTGCTCTTGGGAAGAAGATAACTCATTGAGAGTAACAAGAGAAGCTTCTCTGCTGTTCTCATAGCTGCTCACGAGGTCTTCTGAAGAACTCAGATGGGATCTGGAACCTAACCCTACAGATGTTCGTTTCACCTTTTTGGACAGCCTCATTTTGCATGTCCCCTTACTGCCATTGCCTGTCCACTCGGTTCCTTCCATCACACTCTCTCCTCGAAGCGTCGCCATGATCTCGTTTCCGTCTGCTCTTATTCCTTCACATAAAGACTCGCTCTGCGCCGTCTTCTGCCTTTTTCTCCTCCTTCGCAGCTCTGCCGTGTCACTGGAATCAAGCACTGTGACCTCCACGGTGTTCTCGTCCCTGCTCTCAGAAGCTGAGAGTCCAGCCGGGTCGTCGGCACTCTGGCCAGTGGGCGTTCTGTCCGTCTTCTCAGAAAGCATCTCGGCTTTTCGTCTCCCTTCTCCCTTTCTCTTTGCCCTTTTTTCTTTTTTCTTCTCCCCCTTCTCTTCTCTCGCAGCGTCGGGATCACCGTCCTTGCTTTTCATCCTTCTAGTCATCTCTAGACAACGTGGCAAAGTATCAGACGGACCACCTTCGTTCCTCTGCTCTAAAGTATCAGGGCCGTCTACCACAAGGCTGCTCTCAGAACGGACGCTGCCTGAATTTTCAGTTCTCTGGCTTAAGGGTTCCTGTACGTCTCCATCCCCCTCTCTCACTTTTTTCTGCTTTTTTGTCTTTTTTCTTTCTTCTTCATCGCTTTGAGTCTTGGTCACAGTAACCTGCATGGGCTCTGTCTCTTCCACTCGGATTGTTCCTAACGCAACGTCTGGATTCTCTGCAGAGTGTCCGCTTCCAGTAGTCCTGCTCCCCACCGCACTTGGGTGAAGTTCATGCCCGATTTCCCGCAGGTTTTCACTGCTCACAGTGTGAGCCGATGGCTCAGGGAAGAGGCCACTCTCACTCACTTCCTCACCTTTGTGGCGTCTTCTTTTTTTCTTCTTCTTCTTCTTCTTCTTCCTTCCTTTCTCATCACTCACTGCTTCAGGCGTAGTGTCCTGCAACACATCACTGGCGCCTTCAAGCCCCAGTTCTCCAAACCCACAGGCATCTGACGATGACCTCTCGCCCTCCCGTGGCCCAAAGGCGTTGCGACAAGCTGCAAACATGTCCCCGATGTCTGAACTGCTGCTCTGAGAGACGTGCTGAGCTTCATCTCCGGCTATGTCACAGTCCTGAGGAGCGGCTTCCTGCTGGCCTGAGTTCACACGCACAGCTGTCTGCGCCTCACCGATTAATGGCTCAATGATCAATTCATTTTCAGCTCTTTCTACAGCCTCTTTTCTGTTTTTGTTCTTATTTTTTCTCTTTGACTCTCTGCTGTGCTTTTCCCTTTTCCTTTTTTTCCACTTCGCCATCAGTTCCTCTTGCTCTCCGGGATCTAGCAACTGGGCCTCAGGTGCCAAAACCCTGCCCTTACTCTGTGCCTTCTCTCTCGGGTCAGGTGGCAGTCCAAAGGCGTCTGCGGGCTGACTCAAGCACCTTTTACTTTCCTTCTTCTTCTTCTTACTCCTCGACTCTTTTGAGCCTGTAGAATCCAGCTCTACAGCCCCGTTCAGCCTCTCTTTCACACCTCCCTTCTGCTCTCTGTCCCCATGTTGTGACCCAGAGCACTTCTTCTTTTTCCTTTTCTGAATAAAACAGCTCGGGTCCTGGAATGAAACAATTAAAAGCCATTTTAATTAATCCGATGGGTATGGACCTCTTTCCGATTTCAAATTTTAATGAAGAAATAAATGCGTCAGCCCTTATGTTTGTTGAATAGAAAAAGAAAGTGTGTCTGCTGTGCCATTGCATTTAAACAGTTTAACAAAAGGTTTACTGTAATTCCTATTCATAGTAGCAATTGCATCTGAAGTTTGCTTATTGCACTTTTTATGCACAGGGTTGTTCTGTATAAAAAGCATGAATACCGCATTAAACATAACCAAGACA